TGGTTAGATCAGCAAACAACTTTGCTGAATCAAAAGATTCAGCAGATCGATCAGATGCATCAAAATTTCAGACAAGAGAATGAACGAAACTTCAATTTAGCATATAATTAACGTTAATAGTCGAAAGTTCATTTTGTATCAATTGCCTTTATGCGTAAAAAAAACTCAAGGGTGTATAAAAAATAAAGAATTTATATTGTATGAAAACAGTTTGTTAAAATTAATGCGATTCAAATAGATACAGAGGGTAAGAAATACTGTATTTTAACATAATCTGCTACATGCAGAAATAAGTTAACCATCTTGTCTTGCAGTATGTTACATTTCACGCCATCAGGATGTGTTATGTCCCAAGCTAGGAACATGAAAAACTTCTTAATATCTATAGTAGCCGATATTTTGTCTTCTTGACTTTGTTGACTACAATTCCAAACTTGCAACTTTTGGAAATGTGTAGACACTGTGGCGCTGTCCGTGTCGATTTTCAATACAAACACGCCGGTTTTGTCGGCGCTTAACGTTAATTGTGGACTCATGTTTTTCATCCTTTCTACAATATGTTTTACGTGTTTAAGTTGAGGCATATCGACCGAAATCTGGAAAAAATTAAAAATAGAAAAATAAAAGTACAGTGGTTACAAGAAGTACACGTTTGCACATTATTCTATTTATTATAGTAATTAAACATTAATTAACTAGATATGTTCACTTTCGTACCACTTAGTAATACTTGAACTGCTACAGAGATATGATACTATGAAAATGAAATATCAAATCTGATTTCAATCTCAAATCTCATTTCATTGGAAAAGAAGATATTAAGTTATAAATAAGTGCAAATACTCCCTGTACTATGAAAAACTAATAACAATTAAGAAAGAACTAGACTGCGAATTTTTATGAAAATTCATATTTTTGAGAAAATAAAAAATGTTGACCTTGGTAGAGCTTTATTCCACCTATCAAGTAGTATAACGGGTACTGTATTCTGAATATTTTGTAATATTTTATGAATTTTTGCACATTGAAATTTTTCGTAAATACATAAAAATTTGTAGTATAGAAGTATCATAAATAAAATAAGCAGAAAAAATTGTTTGTACATGAAATTCAGGAATATTTGGTGCTTGATGCTCGGTCCATTCGCGTCGTGGTATGACTCTGACAGGTACATCGTGCAAGCATTGTCTTGATTCCATGCTTAATGAAGGTAACTCAATTTCTATAGTGAGACACGGTTGTCGCTTATTCGTTAATTTGATTTTAACGCTTTTTGCGGTCATTCGTAAAGATCCTAGGGATCTGGCAAGCAATGTGGGATCAAATTCTAAATAAATCTCATTCTGTTCTTCAGAGACGCCATTCATAATGTATTCAGTAAAAAAATGAGTCTGACTTAGTTCAGCCCAAACCATCGATGCTCGGTCATCAGTAACACTGAAGCATAATTCATCCAACGTTAACCGCAAGGTACACTGTTTTGTTATTCGAGCGATAACATTAACGATATCTGAAATAAAATTCTATATTTTAATATTATTGTATTTCTATGAAACTAATTGATAATAAGAGGGGTTAACATTGCAATTCGATATAAATTTTTATTACGTTGCATTCGGTATAAAAATTTGTATTGGTATTGCTATTTAATCGTAGACGTTGAAATACTTCCGGTATATAAAAAATTGCATAAGAATAAGGGTAACGTAAATATACTAATATTTATCGATATTTAATTATACACAACAATTGGCAGGGAAGGTTAGAAATAGTTTCCATGATTTAAACTCACTGGTGAAATCTCTCATTGCAATTACGTCCATCATTCTACACCTGAATTTCATCCTTGATAGTATAATGTATAGTTTTTATAAGACTCAAGTATTGGATCTCTTGTCGTGTAAATAAATTTTAGGCGGGAACTTGTGGTACAATAATTACATACCGATGACCATTTGACAGGCCATAATTCGACATTTTTAGTGATTACAATGTACTTATAATAATTCACTATTTACACTACATTTTGATCACAAGAAAACAATGCTCCAGATTCTACATCATTAAATATATAATTTATATTTTGTGAACAAAAATTTATATGTAAAGATCTGTATTTAATATAAAACAAAAAATTATACATATGACACGTAAACACACATAAAAAAATATGACAACAGGGCACAAATAGAATATAAAAAATCTAATTTCGTATATGTCTTATTATTTTATTTATTTCTTATATTACAGAAACAAATAAAATAATTTACTTACTGTGATTACAAAAAATATAACGTTGTATTTGACCTCAAGAGCTCCAAGATTTGTGTATTAAAATTTGTACGTTATTATTAACTCCTATTTCTTCTATTGCAGATACAAATAAAATAATCTAATTATATTACATATTATAATCTCAAGAAAGATAACATCGCATTCTTCTTTATCAACAAACTTCAAAATATATGTTGCTAAAATTTGTAACGTAATTTGCATGTCTCTCAACAGATGTCACTAACATACATATTTTCCGTTAATTTTCGCGCGAGAAATTACCCTAGTCGGTTCGAATGTCGAATGACCCATAATCTAGCAACGTGAGATCTAAGTTTCTCCTGTCAAGTTTTGTGTGTAAACAAAAGCAGCATATCAAACCTTACGTCCGATAGGTCGCGTCCTTTCGTTTGACGGTTCAGTTCACGAAAATTGTTCACATTTTGACATACAGTAGTCCTCGTTACGTTTTCTCCCTTGGAAGTTGCGAATCTTAGTTGTTTGGTTAGGGGTGAGTTCGGCCATGTTGTCAAGTTCGACGACTAACAGAAGTTTATCGTAATAAATCGTGTCTCGTTAACTGTGTTTCTGGAGCGGGCAGCAAGCAGCGAATCATGCAACACTGATCGACATGCGGTTTGCCAGAAAGAGGTGAGTCTCTATCTCTTTCTCGTAAAACGTGTGAACATATTTCTTATCTTTTTCTATTTCTTTCCCTTTTCAACATTCTACATACACTTACATTTTCTATATAGAAAAATGGGTATTTAACTCGTTTAATAAATTAAATTAAATTAAATTACACTTGTATCTAGGTCCTGTCATATTTGCTGACATCAAGCTCCTGAGTGATTATCAATCGATTAGAAATACATCCCTATTTAAGTATGTGTTATTAACTTTGTTTTCTTTCGAGGTAGTTAACCCCGGGAGCGAAGAAACAAATTCTTGACCGCTAGAGTTACGAATTCTTGCAAAAAAGTTATTTTCGTAACAACATAGGTTCAGTGACATTTTTGTTTTGTTACAATATTCTTTATATTCAAATAATATTCGATTGCAAGAGGAGTACGAAATATTATATTTTGAAATAAATATTAAGGAATTATATAATTTAATCAATTTATCACTTATTAGCCGATCGCGGATTTTTATACAATTATACGAAGTTTAAAAATATAGAAATCTATAGAATTTATATGATATGTAGAAACATAGAAAATATCAAATATATGGCATTCTTTGTAATATTAGATAAAATATAGATAAAACGAATATCTGCTTAAGTCATACTCTTTTAATTGTATCCATGAAAATATGAATTTGTATAAAAATCAATAGCTTGTTCATTATTAATAGAAGACGTCGTAAATTGTTCGAACAAGTACTTTACGACATTCGATACGTGTGTAGTTCGTATTACAGCGAGACTTTATTGTTCTCAGGAAACATGCTCCCAGTAGCCGAGTATTTAAATGATCCGCGTGTATATTTTTTCCATTATCGAACGTCTAGTCGAGGCAGGTGGTAAAACACGTGGCATGCGTAGAGAACATGCACCGGTCCCATGTTTTTTTTCCTTGTCTTCTTTCATCTTTTAGTTACTTTTGCCATTTCTCTCTTTCTAGCTTCTACTTTTCATCTCTTTTCGTCTCTCGTGTTCACACTAGCGCGTTGTACACATTCTGTCTTCGTATTGCACGACACATCAGTACGAAGAAAACGCGTAGTACCCAAGGTTCTCACCCTAGGTCATAAGATATGTACATACGTCGAAACACAAAGACTAAGCACATTCTTTCGTCGGTTTTATCATATATGTACCTATATAAAAATCACTATTATTATTATACTATTATCAAATAATATTTAACATTTAATTATTCTAAATTCAATTTATGTATAGTGTCTGCTCTTATCAATGTATCTTAATGTATAATTAAATCTGAAGTTATACATATTACGTAGTTAGATATATATGATATTGAATTGCTCGAGAAATTCGTAGTCTTTTCAAAATTGGAAAATTTCAATAAAAATCATCAATACTGTATTATTTAAGAATATGTCAAAAATGTTGAAATGATCTTATTGCCAGCTTAAATATTCACCTTCAAAAGTCTCATTTATCAAATAAATCATCTATCCTGATTTTGACAAACCACTTAGACTAATGACAATAAACAGGATACTTTAAAACCTTGCAAAAGCCATTTGAAAGAGATACAAGTCGCCATAAAATAGAGTACAGATTAATTAATAAATTTCTAATTTTGTTCTATGAGCTTTCCAAACAACCTAGTATATTGTTATAAATTAATTTTTGTTTTCAAACCATTGATTTTGTTTTAATTCTTAAATCTTCTCGCACCATCGATCGATTATCAAAAAGTTGTTCGATCCTGTGAACGACAATTTCGAGGTTAGCCACTATCTTGCGTTGTCGAAGTTTTTGCATCGATATCGTCTTTCTCATTCACGGATCCGGTAACCCAGAAAGGTATAAGGTAACGACGGGAGTTGAGAACTCTTTTCGAAAGGGTCAGCTTTCTCTTTTCGAAAGAAAATATTCGAGAGAAACAATCGAGTGTAGATACTTGTGTACCCACATTGGCGCCACAATATTCTATGGAAAACGCGTAAAAGAATACACATTGCGTTAAGACACACTTGAGTATACGTAGAGTACACTTTGAGGTGAGCTATAGGGCTATAGGTTATTCAAATAGCGGCCATATTGCTTTTTCATGAGGAAATGTAGATACATTGTGTATACAAAATTCCCTACACCGTGTTTTCAAAAACTAACGACATATATAATGACAATATTATTATTACTAATATGTGTGATAAATAATAATGTTTAATGGTATTGATACTATAGATTAATTATTTATTAATCGTATATACTATTATCGTGATGGAGAGGGGTCGTTTAAATTTGAATTTGTGTGATATCTACTTCGTTTACTTATCAAAGAAGCACTTAAGCAACAGAAAATAAAATCGTATCATTTATTTAATGTTTAACAGGCGTTGCGTATCTGACCTGGAAAGCTCTGATTAACCACAGACACGTTTCGCGCAAACTGGATCCTCCCTTCCGACATATCATCAGCTCTGGTCCCATTTCTCTATATGTATTTGCTTTGCAATAAAGGCAAAGCAACGACGAAGAGAACCGTAAAACCTACCGATAAATTCCTTCTTTAACAAGTCATTCCTGGAAAAGTCGGCCTCGAATGGGACTTCACGCTTGTTCAAACGTTCACGTTTAACCCTTTAGCGCTCGATACCTTCACCATCTACACCTTAGGTACGGTTCTTGGATTATAACACGATAGAATCTTTTCGTTTGCCATATTTTCTAGACCGAATAAAAAATACCTTAATAGGTATATAAAATCATTAAATTTTTTTTTATATTTGTTTATATATATGCATATAGTTATATATTTATTTTTATATTTACATTTTCTTTCCTTTTTAATAAGGTCAAGGATATATGTGGGTACAGTTTATATTTTTCATTGCTTTCTTTCTGAATTTTTATAAAAATTAATATACAATAAATCAAGTAAATAACACTTGATCACGATTTTTGAGTTGTGACGAATTCAAATAAACATTTAAGATGTATAAGATATATTCTGGTAAAACAAAGATTATTACATGTTTATTCAAGATAGTCGAATAATATATTCCTTGACCTATTCGAAAATGACACTTGTGCTTCATGGACGGTGGCGCTGGGTTTTGTTTCTATCTCGCTACGTAATCTAGCCACAGCTATGAAAATGCTTACTCGTCCTGTAAGCTTGTGGATGATCAATCGTATACAAACAGTAGAGGCCAGTGAAGCATAATAACGAAGTGACTTCCGTTCATTAATATTTCTTTCGTATCGTGGTCTGGGACTACGTCCCCTGAAATTAAAGGTCCAGATGGTACGAATCCACCCCTGATCTATTTTGAGCTTTCGAGCGATCTACACGACCCTCGCTAACTCCCCCTTGGCAAACTCATTTCACCCATATTGCATTTCATCAATTTGCAGCACTACTCTTATTAATGGCGCAGTTATAACCACGCCACCGACGCGTCTCTGTAGTTTGATTTTCGATTAGACTGCGGATGTTTGTGCATTTATAGGAAATGTTAAAATTCAAAATGCACAGAAAGCATAAAAGATGTAATATTCAAAATGCAGTACTTCTGATATTTAGTGAGTGAAACAAATCTCTGTGTAAGTTTTACTTTTGGTTTAGTAGGTTTTCATAAAAAGGAAATTTACCATTTTTTACAGGAGGACAATTTTGTCAATTAATCTATCGTTACCAAAATTGGTCTATTGCTTAATTTTGGAGCTAAACATATATATTTTTCCACCCTCTTTACAGTTGAAGAAACATTACTTTGTATGATATTAAAATATTCCGGATATTAAAATGTTATTTGTCTTAACAATTATGTAAAGCTTCAGCTAGACCTAACGGATTTTTTTTATCTTTAGCTATTTTGTATTGAAATATTCCCTTTTACTCACCCAATGACATTATAATCAACAATTCAACAAAAATGTACTTATCATGTTTTTCTCTTATAATCATCAACATAAATTTACATAAACATCCATAAATCTGACTGATAATTTTAAAATAATATATTTCTAAATTAGTGATATCACGTGCCACATACCCTTTCAGTATCTTAAACATTATTTGGCTAACGAAAAAGATCACATTATGGTACTGGTTTGCGAAACGCGCGTCGATTATTCGACTTGGTTTGAGCTGATGTCCCTTCATCCCAACATCCAGGGCATGTAACGCTTCTACTTATCAATATTAACTCGTCTGTTGGGAGATAGAGTGACGTCAACTCACGAACCCGGTGTCCCGCATGGCAACTGCCAAGGCGTGTTGAGCCAGGACGCAAGGACAGACGCAGCGCATAGCGCACGCGGTGCGTTCACACACATTAATGCGCATACGTATGTTTCCCCAAGCTCGTGTGCACAGCCCTCGTGCTGCGTTTCTTGCTCCGTACTCTCGTGCTCCTTCCACACCTCCCTCCTACTCCCTGTCTTCGACGCCCCCTTTCCTCTCCTGTTCTTTTCTTTACACCTTTTGTAAACTCTTCCTCCTTTTTTCGAACGCGTTTTCTTTCAATTTCATTTCCGCCCGTCTAGTATTTTCTCTTTCCTTTCTTTCGTACAATTTGCATCTTTTTCGTACACGACTATGTAATTTTCCTATAAAAGCTATAACTACAAGTTATATTAATTAATTATAGGTATTTTAATATAGCTATTTTAATTTGGTATATAGTATAATTTGTTAAAAGAATTTTATATTATTTGTTATTTTCCAATTGAAAATGATTGGTAAAATAGGAAAACTTTATCTTTATTGGTTTAATTAAGAAAATAAAATACAATGCGTTACACAAAACATTTTGAAATTGTGTCACTATAATGAGACATGACTATCATAGCTGTATTGGTAAAATTTGAAACAAATCTGAAAATGTATATTAAAGTTACAAGATATTTACTACAAATACATGTACAATTCACAGAGATTAGTATGGTCTTTAAACAGCATACGAATTTATCAATTAGTAAGTGCAAGTCCTGGTTCCAAATTTTACCAATATAGTTATAGCAGTCGTATCTCATTACAGTGCTAATGAGATTTCAAAAAGTTTCATATAAAAGTCTCTTATTCCAAGCGTTCTAGTAGTTATTAGTAACTGTATAGATATATTCACTATTTTGTCCCCATACCTTTTTTCTCTACCTTGATCGTGACATTCCTTTCCTACATTTACTTGTATCGAAAAGAAGTATCATTTTCCCTCGTCCAATTCCTCTCTCCTTTTCTCGTGTATGTACAAACATGTGCACGTGTATACCCTTTCTCTGTCTCCCTCGATGTCGCGTAAGGCCCTGTATTCCGGAATACGTCACTGAACGGTACGCATTATTGGATAAAAGAAACGAAGAAGGTTCATTTTGTCTCGTCTTATTTCTGTGAACGCAGCAGCTGTCTTTTATTTGTCTTCTCTCATACTGACGCGAATCATGATTGCGATTGGGCCACCACTATGGAATGCGTGCAAGCATGTGACAGGAAGCTTTTTAATCTCGTTGGTTGACTGATAAAAATGTCTGCCAGCGACCGATTTATGGATGTCATTGCTAGGTTATGTCACTATAGTGTATTTTATGCTTGGCTTATGACTTTACTTGGTTGACTTCAGTGGGTGAATTTGTTAGCTCGATTTCTTGTACTGTTGCTGATAAAAATATTTGAAGTATGATTTCGGAAATAAGAATGAAATATCGTTAATTTTAAATTGTGAACACTTCGGTTTAGGGCCACATTTAGTCCTACTCTCTATGGGGCCATATTCTAAAACTTAACTGTACAATTTAATTAGGCCTAATAATGATGTTGCGCCTAGAGTCTCTGAAAATATAAATGTGGCCCTAAATAGGTCATATAGATAATAATTAGTTTGTTTCCGATTTAAGGAAATATTAAGTATCTTAGTGTTCAGGGTAAACATTTTGATTTAATCAAACATTATAATGTAAACTTATAGTAGGTTACAGGTCTCGCAAGAAATATCAATATTCTAACGTTATCTCCATGTTTTCCTCAATCTTCAACTGTAGTCTCCCTAAAAATATTGAGCAGTATAATACACGACCTCCTTTAAAGCCATATTTTTTGCCATTAACAACTTTCGATAACGTCAATATTTATGGAGTTACGCAGTGTTTCCAATTACATGGGGATCATCCTCTATATACATAGTACATACCTTATTCCTAAACTTTTTCTGGGGCTTGTATAGTTTACTCTGAACCACTAAGCGAGACATCAAACATTTATGCGGACATGAACGTAGTATATACACGTGTTTCTTAATTCGATAATTAACACGCATAAGTAGAGTTTGGAAAGGAGAAGAGAGGCCTCAAGGGAGGCAGTGCTAGCAGACTTAATTACTCGGTCGTTAGTACGCTTAAAACAACACACGATAAAATGCCGTGGCACGACCGATGTTATCTCGCTGCTCTAACTATCACCGTGGGCCCCTGTAATTTTCAATCGTTTCATTACGCGCGCAGAGGCCGACGAAGTTCGAAGACCAGTCGAAAAATCCGATACAGGAAGAGTCAGCCATAATTTATGCTCGCGTTTTTTGGCCAGTTACCGACCCACGGACACGAATCGGGCAGCAAGTACCGCAATGCGGTCGGTAACTCGCAGTTTCTGAGGTACACCGCGTTAATACAAGCGAAATTACAGGGTGCCCGCGAGTTCCTTGTACCGAATACCAACAGCGCCACGCTCGATGGTTCTCAGTCGCCTCCAGGCGAGTTATCTATGGGAGTATATAGGACCAGTGGACGTGGAACGAATGAGAACCCGGAAGGCGGATTCCCCGTGCACTTCAAAGGGAAAAACCTGTCTGCGTTGTCGAAACGACCTGCATCCATTCTCAGGCATACCGCTCTTGCCTTCCATCCGACGTATATGGCGTCTGTTTCGTAGCTGGTCCCGTTCGAGGAATTTCATGCCACATAGACGATTAATTTGTCTTATTCAACTACACGTCTAGTGCGTGATATTATTTGAGGACAGCTTATCATTTATTTTCCCGACAGACGTTTTTTCAGAGTGGATAGCTCTTAATCCTATTCGGAGCGGCCCCCTTTTCTTCTTCTTGATTCCGCAAGAATACTGAATGGACAGGGGGTATGTCGGGTATCTGTAGAAACATTATTGAATTTTTAATAAAATACGTTATTATGCAAGTATACTTTTAAAGAATAATGTTTATAATAGTAGGACTCTCTTGCATAAAGTAATATCTGTAGTCAGATTTTTCAAATCACAAACCAAGTTACCAATTTTCAAGTTACCAATGTTAATATATCATCTGGTATAATAGTGACAAATTTTATAATAGTAAAATAATCATACTAAACGAATAAAATTCTACGAATAAATATCATCAATCAGCTAATTGTCATATTCGACGTAAAATTGCAAAATTATGAAACTTAACCCTATGCCTATCAATTTTCTAATATTACTAGTTACTAAGTAATAATCGTACTAGGAAACTCAATTCTCCAAGTTTTCATTAGAGGTTCAAGAGAGCAATGTGGATCGTAATTCTTGCATCTCGTGCATCTTCATTCGTGCATGTCTTACGGCATCGAAGAAGAATAATGAGATAGTAGGTTACCTTTGGATGGATCACGCGAACAAAAATTTGTCTGTATAGAAAGGTATCATCGTTCGACGCATCACACGCTTTACTTTTGCATTCACTTATTATAATACGAAGTCAAAGGATATTACGCCATCTGGTATGGTTTCGGCAGTCCGAGCAAGGAACTGTGTAATCTGTGCCGGACAATATCGCCGATTCAGACGAAAAGGGGGGAAAAAGATTCCGGCATAATTTTTCGCGCTTCCCAAGCTACGCGCATGAATGGTAAATTTTTTTTTTCTATCGGGGCAAAAATCTTTATTCTGCGCCTGGGTCTCAGGACCGGCCCAAAAAGAATTTCGTGACCTGTTCCACGAGCATTGCATTCATTTCCATATTCTATGTATTTAGTGTTTACGTCTACTTCGTATCCGGTCGTTGTTCTGAATAGCTGACAAAGCCTGGCAGAGGCTGGCAGAGGCTGGCAAACTGGTAAATGAACTAGACGTTTGATATTGAACTCGCCGTTAACTCTTTTTCATTTGATGCTGCACAATACGCCGTTACGGCAGCGAATAATTGAACAAAGAAAAAATAATATCTCGTTGAAGTTACCGACATGGTAAAACGAGAGGCATATCGAGGTCTATGCTAAAGCTATACACGGAGACGCGAACAAAGTGAGCCATTAGAACTCGTTCTTACAAAATGAGCTAAATTCTATCAACTTAACCATATCAACATAACAAATGTAGCTTTTTATTTAACAAACAGGTTAAACTAAAGAGAAGTAAAAAGTCAGACACTTTTCTAAATCTCTACTTTATTTTAAATACGAGTATAAATCTAGTTATCTATAGCTATGACTAGGCATAGTATAACCTCATTGTTGTGTGCTTGTTATTGTTAAGTTTTGGAATTACGATAATTATTTTAGTCATAACTCAACAACGCCCTCTATTAGTATAGATTAAGCAATATTGATTATTAATGAGGTTCGGTTTGATTGCCTAGTGAACAGCTTTATTTATCGATAAAGTGGCAAAGGAACCGAAATGATTTGGATCGACTTTGTTGCATTTAAATTCGGGGTGTAAAGAAATGGGTATCAACTTTAAGCGATCTGGTTTTTGTTGTTCCCTCGCGTTTCGAGAGTCGATCGGTTCTGAGAAGGCAACGGCGAAACCGCGAGGCCTTGCAGAGACTTATATTCCGGACCCCTTCCTCTCGTTTCTTCGTCTTTCTCGCGTCTTCTCTTCTCTTCCGTGTCCCCGGCCACCTCTTCGATTCCTTCGTACTTCTCCTCATCACTCTCCTCCCGGTTCATTTGTTTCTCTTGGTGCGCCTCCTTCTCTTTCTTAATTTCGCTCTTTGAGAACACAACGAGTCCTGGTTAAGGCCGATTCACACTGAATTAAGTCAAAACAATGCGGGGAATTCGAATAATCATTATGGACTCTGCGTTTCAATGACTCGTTTAGTATGATATTTCTTCGACGAGTGAGTTCTTCAAGAGTCGTGTTTATGGTTGTTTCTTCTTATATTCTTTATCTGGAATTTGCGTTGAACTCGTCTCAAGACGACCTCGCCCCCTGTCATGGTTACGTTCAGGAAATTATTAGCGTCCTTTTTGTCAATATTAAAAGTAATTTTACACATATTAGATTGTTTGTGAGAAATGAAATTGCAAATTTGAAGCGATTCTCGTTAAAATTGCACGAAATTATAGGTGAAACTGTGCCACCACTTCGATCAAATCTGAGGTAATATAATGCGTTAGCTCTGAGTGACAGTGGTATTAAATTGTTCGCAGCTGCCTATGAATCGTAGCTTAAGGTATTCTTCACGAGAAGGTGGGACAATTCGTAAATATTTTCCTCGAGCTATTGCATTTTTAGTGGCTCAAGAATTTTTAGGGATGATTCTGTTGATACTATTGCATCCTAACCTTGATGTATCGTGTACAGGATATTCTGTTAACATTTTAACAAAACAATATTTTAGAAATGGTTTAAAACATTGCT